CGCTATTTACCAGATCGGGTGCCGTCTGCTGCTGCCCTGCTCACGGAATTCGACGTGGCTTTTGGATACTCAGCAGACAGATCTGTGCCCTCTGCATGGCAAGCTTACACACTGAAAAGTTCTGCTTTTAGCAGCATCTGCTTTACTTTTAAAAGAACTTTTGCTAGCTGGGCAATGGTGGGGAGGCACCTATTGCGCACCTCATCCCTTACTTGGGATGGGGTAATCTGATGGTATCTAATAAAATACTTCAGTCTCATAGAAATTGCTGCTTTATTCCCAAATCTTTAACTCAAAACCATGAAATGCTATTATATATAAAACCATATTGTATTTTTAAGTCCCACAGGCGGTAAAAGGTAATATCAAAACCACACTCTGCCCAAACTTTGCCTCTCTGCATCCATGCATTATAATGCACCTTTTTTACACTGGGGGATGTTACTGCCATTAGCTAAAGCACAGGCAAGCGCTGGTTTGCAGGGCTGCATGCAGAGCGCATTCAGCAAGACAAGAGGAACAGGTGGAGGGATGGGGCTCTTCAGATAAAATAGGAATGCAGAGTTTACCTTATGTGAATAGCCTAAAAGAGCTCGGTTTGTTTAGTCTGGCACACTGAAAGCTGTAATAGCTTTATTACTGTGTGAAGGGGACAGACTCAAGGAAAGGAAGGAAGCTGTTTAAATTAAAAGAGTGGTGTTGGCACAGGAACAAACGGTATAAACTGGCCACGCACAGCGTCAGGCTGGAAAGCAGAAGATGCTCCCTGTCGATGAGGGAGTGTTTTGGAGCATCCTCCCAGTCAGAGGAGTCTTGGCTGAACACTTACTGGTGCAAGAGGGAGCTCATCCCTTGTCTGTGGCTGAACTGGGCAGCGGTCCCGGCACTGCAACTCCAAGTGCCACCACCCTCCCAGTCTCACAGCTCCCAGTCACGTAATTCGTACCTTATACACTCTTCTCCAAAATGTTCATTACACACATGTAGCATTTCTCTATTATGTATGACTTGGCACATACTATGAACGGCATCACAAGGTACGCTGTGATGCGTATGTATGCATTTTGCACGATAACAACCAAAGATTATTAGTGAAAAACTACTCTAATTCATAACCCACGTTGCACCCTGATCATTCAGAAATGTGTATATGCCCTTAACTTTACACGAATAAGTTTTAGTGTACTGGGAACTAATTGCATGTAAAGAAATTGAGCATGCACAAGCATACATAAGAGTAAAGCTTCAGGCAGTTTTGTCATGGGCCGCCCCAGCACTGGAATGAAACCTCTAGGAAAGTGTGATGATAGCCGAGAGAAAAATGCACGGTAAACTGATTAATTTTTTCCCCTTTTAAGTCAATGGCATTGACCTACAGTCCCCATCTATCTCTGCATCTCATAGCTACTCAACCCATTTTACCCCATCCAGCATGCTATTACATGAAATACCAAGGCAAGGCTAAAAATGCACTCCTTCATCTGCAAAACCTGGTAGTAGGCTCCTCCCAGTACATTTTAACTTGGGAGGTATCCCAAAAAGCATACTGTAGAAACATTACTGGAAACCATGAGACTTTATTATCAATGCACTCTGGAAAATTGTGTGGAATTTGGCAGCTGTTTTTTCCAACAGCAGCTCTATGACTAGTGTTGCACCAGACACCCCAGGACAGCAAGGGCGGATAGGAACAGAGGAGGCAGCCAAGCCTTTCGGACTTGCACACATGCCGAGCCAGAAAGCAGGATGTATGAGGAAGATGGGCCAAGAAATGAAAGGAAAAAATGTAGTGTGGGCCTTCTGAGAAACTCACATGTGATTTGGCATGATCCGAACAGAGGGAGGTTACAGAGAGATATCATGCCTGAGCCAGCAACTCACTCAAGTACTACAAAGGTCCGAAATACAAAAATAATTAAACAGGCATATCACTGACTGATTCAAAAGTTAAATTCGTCTTTTTTCAGGATCTAACTTAAAGTTGGTTGCACATTAAGGGCAAGTAAAAAAAAAAGAAAAGTAGAAAAAAAACCCCAAATAAGTGAAAGCATAAAAGACATCCAAGCTGTTATGGGACTTCTGTAATTGTTACCTTTAAGGCCCTTCCAGCCAGAAGCAGAACATGACGGGCCAATTGACAAGCTTGACGAAGCCCCTGAATCTGATCTTCATTCTTAATTTCTATGTCGTCTCCCCAGTCTGGTACAATGCCTGTCGTCACATAGTCTGGCTTCTTTATGTGCTTGGAGAAAAAGGATTGAAAATGAAGATCAGAAAACTGAGCATGACAATGGGATCATTTTCTCAGATACTGCCTCCTGCTTCATGGCAGCTTGCCCTTTCTGTCGTAGTATCGACCTTCCTAAGCCATCAGGGCAAACCCTCAAGGCTGCCTCAGTATTTCTTCCACTGCCCTTTTGAACTTAACATTGCCTGTTACTACTGACTTATACAGTCTGTTAACCTTCCAGTGCTGAAACCCCAGATATTGCAGCTGATTTCCAGCACAGACAGTCGCAAGTTGTAAAACTGTGAGAGAAAGACTTAAAAACTCTTCATTGTCTTTTGCAAAGAGCAGCGCATTTTCTACAAAAGGCATCTGAACACTGGGACTGATGGGACAAACATACAGAACTAGGCTCAAATATAAAACTGATCAAATCCTCAGTTTCTTGCTCAGATGAAACTCCTGTTAACTTCTATGCAATTTTTTTGTTACTAAGAACCTTAGGATTTAACTTCTTCTAATTTAGCTTTTACTTATTAATCTAGTTCACATGCTTCCCATCTACAACACTATGCAAGGGTATCCCAATTTGCTGTGTCAAGCAAAGTGTCATAAACTTTCTCTTTTTTTCACACAGAAAGTTCTCAGCCTTCATGTAGAGGGGAAATTTCACTTCCAGTTTTTTTAAACGCACAACAACTTCTTGATATGTGTACGAACACAACAAACTAATAATAACGGTAACATCTTGTACAGAGGTGGAAATGCACTTTCTCTCGGAGGGTCCTGGGCTGTTTCACTGGCTGGAGAAGAGTCCCTTTGCTTGCCACAGACAGCCTGACTCTTTGCCACGCCGGCCATGGGGTAAGTTTTGCACTGACTTCACAAAATACAGAATCAAGCTCGCAGCCAAAAAACAAAGAGAGCACCTTGCGCTGTACACAACAAGACCATACAATGTCAGGGTGTAGGAGTAAAGAGGAGCGGTGCAACCAGTTAGCTCTAGCGGGACTTTAAACAGAAAGACTACTGTTACTCCTACGGATATTTCATTTCTACTCTGACAAAAAGTGAAACTATCTCTAGTGGATTCACATCAACAGAATTTCAGATTTCCATTTCGTTCAAATTAATGGCATATCAACCCTAACAACATCCTATTGCAGTAGTTTGGGACTTAATTTAGAAGATAAAAAATACATTTGCTGTATTAGCAACTCCATAAACAGCAGCACCCTTGCTTTCCCCTTGGAGGGCACTTAACTACTAACTGCTGAAACCTGACCCTGCTGACCTGTAAGATCTGTTAAGGGAGAAGCCCAAAGCAGCGTACATACAAATGCCTATGTATACAGTTTCACATCAATATCTTGAAAAAACCCCATGTTCCTTCAATGTGATTTCTGGCATACTCTGTATAAAGCAGTAACTTTGCCCTCAAGTTTTCAGAGTTGAAGAATTGGACTGATTTTTAGACAGTCTGAGAACTCCGATCTGTGAAGACAGCTTTTCATTATGACAATATATTTCTCCCTCTTTACCCTAAAAGAAGCATCTACATATAGAAAAAGTTTGTAAGTTCTACAATTTTTAAACCTTTGAAAATACATAAAGTTTGTAACTCTATGTTCTCCCTGCACACAGAGCTTTCACAGCCTCTTAGGTGTAAGAGTCCTACATCCAGCATCCTCATCTGCTTTCCTATTTAACAACTTTCTAGTATTTCTGACCCATGGGAATATCCTAAATTTTGCGTAAGAAATCTATGATAAAATGAAAAGTAAAATTTCAAAAAGTACTAATATATATTCCGAAAGGCACTGTTCAGAAAAGTACTAATATATATCCTGAAAAGCACTGTTTACAAAGGTGCTGGTTTTCTTTTGGCTAAAGGAAAGATACTAAACAGTTAATCTGTATGCTGTAATTAAATGGAAAAAAAAAGAAAAAAAAAAAAAGAAAAAAAAAAGGAAACCAGAAGTGGAACATGTGTTAAAATTGCATGGAAAAATTCATTTTGGCTCTAAGTAAATAAAACCAAAAGTATATGTTGCAAGAAAAAAACCCCACTCAGACACAGTAGAGATGAGTCTAGAATGTGCAGTGGGGTTGTAGGGCAGCTACCAGCAAGTATTATACGTTCTCTTCCTAAATCTGACATTACCAATTAACAAAACCTTCAGCAAAATATAAACATTTTTATAATTAGCTTACTAGAGATTTATACAGAAAAGGACTCAGATGATCATGAATGATTCTGACTGATTTTTGGTAGGACCATCTATAATTGTCCAAAATGAGAATCTGGACCCAGAAGTGTTAAGTGTTGACAGATGATCATAATATTCCACGTTTATACTACCATAACTGAATAAGCCCCAGGTTTAAACTCCCTAATAACCAGATACACCACCGTGTTTAACATCGCAGGCAGCTGAACAGTTCTCTCACCAGCGCTCCTGTTTCAAACACCAGACCAAGCAACAGGACAGTGATCCCAACCCCCAGCTGTCGGACAACGAATAGACTTGATCACACCTGCAGTCGAACTCTATATTGACTGAAGAACAGATTAGATAACAGAAATTGCTGTACCTTAGGAACTGGGTGAGCTGGAGAAACCGTGGCTGGCCAAACTATATTATAAGCAGTATTTCTTTGTCCTTGAAAAAAGAAGCATCTTCGCTGTTGATTGCTTGACTGCCTGTGCAGGTAGATACGATCGCACAAAGAAAAGATTACGTGACAGCCAGTCATAGAACCTGTTAACAGAGAAGTTAAAAATGGTTAACATTTTTTTCTACTACCACATTACAAAATGGAAAGTATGCAAAAAGAAGGGCATCATGTCAAACAAACCACAGAAATGATGTAGTAGCCAAGGGTAGTTCAGATTGTTCAAATCTTCCACCGTTAAGGAAAGAGCGTTAACACTGACAAGCAATGAGAACAAAAAAACTCTCCAAACCACACTCTGAAGCTTTATAAAATACCAGATCTGTTTTGGTTTGACGCATTAAAAAGTAGCATGGGTAAATTCCCCAAAGCTTGCAGCCAGGAGTGATGCTCCAACTGGCCCCTGCTTGGAGCAATTTGCACGGCCAGAAGCTGCACTGTTCATGGCCTGTGGAAATGGTGAAGAAGGGACAACAGTAGGAAAAGAGGAGAGAAAAAAATTCTTTAATGTTGATTTCAGACAATATTTCCAGCTGTATTTTTGCAGAATTGGTCACAGATTTGAGCACAACCAAGTTAATGTTGATGTCATTTTTGCCAAGACCCAAGGAACATGGTTCAATTTGTCCTGCCTAGCAGGGCAACAGAACAAACGTCGAGAGATAGTTTTAATCATGGACAAAGGCAACTCAGGGATTCAAATGTGTAATTGACTCGGAATATTCGAATCAGGTTCCCATTTAGATCACATAGGAATTCGGGATGACAGTTCGTTGAAGTATTCATTGCTCAAACTTGGTTGTCAGGCAACGACACATTTTGCCCCCCCGAAGAAAAAAAAAGTAAAAAGGGGAAAAAAAGGACACTGAGGCCCAAAGGTTGTCAGAGACATCAAAACCAAAATAATGCATCACAAAAGACGATGCTAGCACCAAAACTGGGAAATACACTAAATTCAAAAGGATTATTGACACTGCCCAATTAAACTACAATTACACGTAGTACATATTTCCATTACTCAAACATTCTACAATCTAAACAGAGGGGTTTTTTCAAATGTAAGTTTCACATCATAGTTCATCTGCTTCTGAAAATGTCACATGTATGCAAACACAAGAGCAATCTTTTGCAGCAGGTAACCTATATGCATAATTACTCTTCAGTAAAAGGGAAGTGTTTGCATTTAAACAGAAGTAACGAAACGTTTTTATATCACAGAAATTAAGAAATTAATCTACTGCATATTTTGTAACTATGTAAAAAATTTTTTTTTAGAAGAGTTTCTTCCATATCTTGTATGTTTTCCTATTTCTGTACCTTCCTTCCTTCCCTTTGGATGCATTTATCATGTCCAGATACAGAAGTTGTCCTTCCACATCCACACTTGGCTTCATAGACAGCCCTTTTACAGCATTCGATGATGTACAGGAGATTTGAGTTACACACCTTTTTTGGAACACCAAAACACAGAAATTAATTAAAGAGTTGCACGGGGTTTGCTTTAGAAGTGTTCCCGACTGTTTCTCTGCACACTGATCAGTGCTACATTTAGTTACCAATATCTGAAAGGTTGTAGAGACTTCTACTCAATGCAAGCTAATTTTTACTGGTTTTTTAAATTGTCAACAAGCAACAAGGCAGAGTTGGAGAGCGAGGCTCAGACCAAGCTCTCAGGATAACCCAGGTACCTCAATGGAAGTTGCCTGCTTCAAAAGGGAAAAGAGTGTCTCCATGGAAGTTGAGCTGCCCAGCTAACAGAAGGCTGGATTGGTTTGGTGGTGTTTTAATTACAATTTAATCAACAACCTCATAATCTACTGCTTTTCTAGGGTCTCCTTCACAAGAAAAAAATCATTGTCCAATTAAAAAAAAAAAAAATCTGAGCCATCTAGCCTGCACAACGCACAAGCACATTCAAAGAGCCCAAAACATCCTACAAACTCCCTGGCTGGTTTGCATCCATTTCTGGGTGCCAGTAGCACAGAATGTGCTGAGGCAGCCACTTTTGGGCCATCGGGAGAGCAATCAGTCCACCAGTGTAAGCTAAGGTAGCTCTTTTACAGAGTGCAGTGGAAGTACCTTGCTCTTACCACAGCTGAAGGTATTATAAATTAACTGAAAATCCACACTCACTGATGCGGTCAGCTAAAGTCCACGCGGACATCAATATGTGAATGTGTATTTCACTGTGTAAAAGTTTAATTGAGGAAGAAAACGTGCAAGTGTGCTTGTCAATTATTTGACAATAAAATTCCAAATGTCCCAAATACACACTGTTAAATACATTAAACCAGTTTATATTCATGGGTGCATGCCTATTGACTATCCCACACTCAGAAAGGATATCTTTTTATTTGGAGTAAAATTTTTACCTCTATTCTCCCAAAGATACACTGTAAGTGTTGTCACAAGATAACAGGATAATAAGGTACTATAGTCTGTTGTTACTCTACTAACTACTCATTATAAACCAGACACATACAAAAATATCTACTACTTGAACAGGTGAAATGCGACAACCAAATAAATATCACCATAGCGTAATACAACTCCTAAAATACATCGCAAGAATTATAAAAATAGGACAATTAAACCTTTATTTGAAATATAAAAAATTACAACAGAAAACATTCTCCTAGAAAGTAAAAATAAAATTAAATAAAATGGCATTAAAATATAACGAAGTTACTGTTTTATAATGAAAATCTGGACTCCGTCCACACACTTCCTTCCTTGAGAAGGCCTTCCTAATGTCTCCACAGCTCCTTTTATTTTTTAAGCTCCCATATTCACAGCTAATTCGATATAGCAACATCATCAATCACCAGAGACAGGAACAACTGGCTCTATTCTCCAAGTCTGGCTCAGATATTCCCTCCTCCCTGTCCCTTACACCTACCGAAACTTTTCTCGGTGCCTTACTTCTGCAACATTGGTGCTCAGGCACATCCTTTTTTGTTAAGCTTTCTGTATATATTAATTACTGTAAGATAGTTCATAGACGTGGAATTTTTGCAGCTTCCAATGGAAACTGCAGCCATCGGAGAGAGCCCAGAGTTTGAAACTGGGTAGCCTGGTTACACACCAGCACAGCCAGGAGGCAAAGTTGACCCTTTACGTGTGTCTTCTCTCCCCCAGCAGTAAGGCTACATCATTTGCCACGAATAACAGAATATTCACTGTCAGCTGCAATAAGGAGAATTATTACCAGCGTTACTGAATCACATCAGCAGATACGATGTGCCGAGCACAGAAAATTACAGACAACTGCTCCTCTGACTCGACAGTGAATCACACTGTGCAATCTGTATGCACGCATGTCCTGCCAGAGCTGCTAGATTCCTCAGCATACCTTCCAGAACTTAATTTGTATTAATAATATAAATATGCACTGTGAGCTTTCGTGAATTACCAGCTTAATTTATCTCTTGTGGAAACTACATTTTCTGTTTCTTTTAAATGAGTCAGCCAAAGGGGCTGAATACAGAATTCGAGTATGATGATGGGTGGGGAGCGTTTTAAGTGACTGATATTGCAGCACAAAGTGCCCTATATTTATTAGCCTTTTACTCTAGGTCTATTTTAATTGTTATCTGTTCATGCATGCTACACTATATAATGAAATGCTCCCATTTCACTCACAGAGTAGAGAGTTTTTTATATGTATCTCTATTAATGACCCTTAATTAAGTTGATTTTAGTCATTTAAATGTGATTTTCCTCTGGTCAAGAAGTATTTTTAAAAGGAGATGTTGGAAATGAACTCTCACATAAGCCCTTTTCTAATGCTTCTTCTTTAAGTTACAGTAATTTGTCAGCTATGTTTTCAACGAATGAGGTGTGGGGTAGCCACGCAAAAACCTGATCATCTACATAATTCATCAAATGTGACTATAAGCAATCCTTTTTTTGGTATTTATTTATGAAAGACTTCAAATTTCCAAGCAATTAGAAAAAATGTTACCTAAGGATAAACTTAATGACATTTCTAAGCTACAATAAATACAAGAGTACATCTTAAAAGAGCCAAGAAATAAATTTAACATATTTTAGAATACATAGTCATCATATCAACAGAAGCACAGTACCAAAATTATTTAGGATTACAAGAATTAACATCCAACTGATTTCGGAAATAAAATCAACTTGCTCTTGATAAAGTAAATCTTACTTAATATATATGAACAATTAACAACATCAAAAGCATTGTTCAGATAACTCATTTTCAAATACGTGATTTAATATTTACATACATATTTCAAAACTTAAAAAAAGAGTGACCATGGAGATATTCTTAGTATATATGTGTTTGACGGTAAAACACTAGAGATCTTTAATTTGGTTTGTCAGGTCATTTTAATATCATGTCATAATTTTGCTTCTTGTGCAAATATTAATTTTCCTGGAACTTCAGAGGGATAAAATTTAAAGTGAAGTATTAAAAATCACTATGAGTAATAATATGTGGAATCCAACCAATGCAACTAGGCAAGAATATATAGCCCTTTACTGTTAATTACCTAGTGTTCCCATTTTTTCAATCCAAAATAATGGCTGTGGTTTGGTACATCTTTACTTGTAATTCTAACTGTCTTAATAAAACACTGACTTTGTAATCCCCGTGCTGCAAAGGTACGTCGAAGCTTCAAAAATAGGATGGGAAAGATTAAAGGTTCTCTCCAACTCTGTGTAACCTGTGTAGCAGAAGAGCAGCTCACATTTCAGAAGCAATAACCTGTGCATTTGCTACAACAAAACAAAAAAAGGGAAGGAAAAAAAAGAACAACACAGGGAAATGCCTGAGGCAGAAGTTGAAACTGATTGGGCAAAGTAGAAGGACAAGAGCCCTTGAAATTAAACAAAAGCAAATTCATTCTGTTGACAGATGTTGATTACATCAAAGCCACGAACTTTTTTTCTGCTTCCTTTTTTTCCTTTTTTGCAACTAATACCTCTGCGTTTTTTGTACATTAAGGATATAACATATCTTAATCAACATAACCCAACATGTAATAATTTTTAAATTTGGTAAAAGCATATTGTAACGAGGTCTTAACGACAGGCTTCTCCAAACAAGAGTGTATTCACATGGTCATGTCTGCATACCCGTGCTGGTCACGCCATCATCAGCCCCTTACTTCCAGGGGTTAACTGCTCTGGCAGCCAAATAAAATACAGAGAGCGCTGTGTAATTATGGAGACAGTCAAAGGGCAGACTCTATTTTGAAATCTATTTGCACAGACAAGGTCTTCCAATTTTGCTTACAGGAAACAAGCTGGTAAAGGGGGTCTCCTCTCCAGATGCTTTCCACACGTTTTTCCCACATCAGGAAATCGTGGACATGGACACCATGCAGCACTGCTTCCTGGATTGCAGGACTAAGTCATTACAAGGAGAAGAGCAAGTCCATGCTCGTGAGAAATATTTCCTCCTAATTGCCCGTATTAGAGGAAAGCAAAACCCACAAGGACTACTGAAAATGTGGCTAGCAGCAATTTATAAACAGGACGCAGCCACAGCTGTCATGATGGTACTGGAAAAGAGAAAACAGAAATGAAAGGGTAAAAACACTCTGTTTTTAACAGCATGATTGAGGAAATGAAATATTCATCAGGGTAGATGTGACTTCAGTTACAACAGCAACACATTGGTGAAAACCTCGACAACAGCATGCTTATGACTGTATCCTTATAAACCGACACACAGGTCAGTATCTTGCAAACGTTATATTCTAATTGACATTGTTTTATTTAATTATTGAAATTAACTGGAAATTAACAACATAAGTTGTTTAGTTAATAAAAGCATTAACAGAATTGCTGTTCTTCTTACTCTCACAAGAGGCAATAAAGCAAAGCAATGGCCAAACGCTGACCAACTCCAAGGGAGCAGAGGCAGCTCCTCTGCCGACACCTCTGGGACTCCTCCATGACACTGGAAAACGTCAAGTTTGGCCCTCAGGACCAGTTATACTCCCTGCTAATTACAGTTATGCTCTTACTTCACAGAGAGCGGAACAGGGCAATTTGTTTGCTGTATGCCAATACAAATGAGTTTTTTAATTGGGTGTAAATTTACAAACTATATGGAAATACATTCTTGCTTGGCTTTACTTATTATGACTCAGTCTGGACCAGCACACTAAAATGATGAATCAGTGCCTTCTGGAATAGTGCCGTTCTTCTAATTCATTATTCAGTCAAATTTAGGGCCAACAAAATAGCTGTTCTACAAGTTGGTAAACTGGGAAACCACAGAGGATCAGAACCTCTTCTATTTACAGGAAGGATGACAGCCTAAGGGTACTTCATCCCAATAATAACAACATTCAAGTAATGGTGCCCAGGTCATGACAAGCCATGACCCTCCCCATAGCTCCTTCAGGAAGCTGGCTCAGTGCCACCTTTTATCAGCAGCAACCGACAGTGCAACTTTAACAAACAAGAAGAAAAGGAAAAATTAATTTTATATCCTTAAAAACCCCTTCGGCCAATTGAGCAGTTGTGTGTATATATATATATATACACACACAGAATCACACCAAGACAGCATAACAAATAAATTCACTGAGTAAAATTCTGGTATCATTAAACAGCACTTTCCCACTTTATTATATGATTTAAAAAATACAGAGTACAATCTAACTATATCTGAATGATATTCATTCATATACCAAAGGAAATTAATTGTCTATTACAGAAAATGGGACTGGGCTGTACAGGCTTAACTTTGGGAACAGAGCATTGCAGTTCTCCAATACAGCCTTCCATCCTAGCGTTATTTCTACCACATTTTCTCTCTCCGACAGAGTAACACAGGTCAGAAATAAAAAGAAAGCACTGCCTAAAGCAGTATCACAGCAAAATTAAACAAGTCAGGTAAAAAAGCTAGACAAAGCAATATTAAGAGTTTCACTCACAGTTAGTATCAGGGGAATTTAGACTCCAGATCACAGCATCTGGCAAGTTTCAGCTTTTGTGACTAGCAGGAGAAACATTCCTCTTATGTTACTGCATTCCTGTATTGAGTAAATTAATTTATCATAAAATGAATAAATTAGAACAAGAAACATATTTGCTCAGGTTTGTATATTTAAATATATCTTTCAATCACTTTCTATCTCTCTTTAGGTTTTTTAAAGGATCAGAGAAATTACTTCTCCGTGAAAAATTAGTCATTGTATTCATTATTTTGATTTGGTAGGGAAGTAACAACTGTTGGAACAAGTTACTCAGTTTAAAAAATAGCAGTTGTTTCAGATTAAAATAATAAGCTATTCAAACAGTCCTTACACACACACACAATACCGAATCTTGTTGTTAATATGCACCCACCCACAGTTTTAACATTCATTGAATCCTACTGGGATAAAATCTTTTCAGGTGCTCTGTGAAACGACTGTTTTTCAACTGGCATGTTTATGTCCTATACACACGCCTGATACGATATTAAATGCTAAAAATAAATCCTACTTTAACCTCTTAAATTTCCACCTGAAATGGAAAAAGTATGTCTGAATCACCACAAAAAACGTTTCCCACAGAAACCCTTTCAGTGGGTGAGCAAGGCTGCTCAAGGCAGAGTAATCTTTGCACAGAAAATTTAGGAGTGCTCCTGAACATTGTATCAGGGTTTTCTGCGTAGCTTGAAGATGCAGGATGAGAATGTGCAGTCAGGAGTCTTTTCCCCGCACAAAATATAAGATCCACTGCAATAATTATTCTCAATACACCTGCAGCCAAATCTCTACGGATACAAGATGATTTCTGAATCGTAGTTTTACCTTTTAAAAAAAGTGTACACTGCTAGAAATTTTGGGATGAATACCTTAATAAAATAAGATTACATTACTACTGATTTGGTAAAAATGACAGTTAGCAGTATTTCTTGCCTTCTATTAAATGTTGTTCATTATTTGTACTGTCCTGTTTTCTCACAAAAACACAAGTTACATTAGGACAGTGAGTCTTTACTGAGGAAACACACACGTGTCCTTCTAGAGTGAAGAGTGTAAGGTTGGGGAATTACATCCTACAACCTGGACTGCAAAATATATGAGCAGATAGGTGTAAGAGTTTACAGCTGTTTTTGCTAAACTACTGTGTTGGTGGAAATAAGCTCTTTTTTTTTTTTTTCCTCCAAGAAGATGCTCTGCACAAGGAAGATGTTCCAATCAAGAGCTTGCTGCAGATAACTTGTAGCATCCTTATTAAAACATTTATTTTTAAACCTGTCATTAGTATGTACTATTAATGTGTAACTTGGAAGCTTATTCATAAATATGTGACATTTGAGTCACTGAATGAATTATAATGATAGGATTATGGATTGAATTTGGAAAAGTAGGGTATAATGTTTTGGAGCTGTTTTAATTTTTTTTTTAAATACCTTTCACTTATCTCCCTGCTTAACATTCACAAAGACCTCTTTCTTATCATAAAAGTCCCTGTTTATCAAACACTGATACAGGAAGAAGTTGTTTACGCTTTCAAAAGTACCAACATACATCACGTATGACAAAAAAAACAAGCACTCCATAAGAAATGCTCAATCACTGTCAATCATACGCACTAAAATATACATATACCAAAGCATGTGGTGTGAACTATATTAGATTCAAACTGAACACAGAATTACAACTATAACAAACAAAAAACAAATAATTACAAGTGACTCGGAGGCCTATTTACACATCTAACCAAACTGCTGAAAAGGTAGGTAACCATAGAAACCTGACAGCCTAAATTCAGTACTTTAAAATTTGTATTTAGTTTAAAATGCTGAAAATTATGTTTCTATTTGACAAAATCCATATTTTAAAAGGCTTCAGTTTTTGCTTTGGTACTTAAATGCTTAAAATTGTTTCATCTCTCAGTTACTAATAATTTGCCTTTCAGATTTTATTTTCTTCAAGTAAAGATTACAGTTTACTCTTTATAATAAAAATGCTAATACATTTTAGTACTGCAAATCAGTATTTTTAATATTTCTTTAACGATTGAAATTAAATGATATAAAACAAACACTCCTGCACTTATTACTAAATGTTTTCCATATAGACTTTTCTAAGCTGCAGACTAGCAAAAAAAAAAAATTACTCAAATTAACTGTTAAAGCTGAAATGCCTTTTCAACTTATAGTTCTTTTTCACTGACAATTACAATTTGCATGGCTTAAAATTTAATACTATGATTAGTACTAATGTCCTGTATTTTACTTCATAATCTAAATGAGTAAAATATTATTTTTGTAGTTCACTGGCTCTTATACTTAGGCTGTAATGTTCAGTGTGTATTTCATTATGCAGATGAGCAATGGATGTCGTCTAACATGATTTAAATGGGTCAACAGTATTTTCCTATTCACATTAATCATCCAGACAGCCGCACAAAAAAAAAAAAAAAAAAAAAAACAAAACACACTTGTACCCAAAGCTGTCCCGAGTAAAATCAACAGATTCATTCTTACAGACACCATGTGCAGTTTTTTACCAGGGTAAGGTAAAAGGGTGTTGCCAGTCCTGCACTTGTGCTCATTTAACAACATTCAGAGCTAGACTCTGGCTGCTCCCCGGGCTGCCCGCGGCCCCTTGCCAAGAATGATTCTCGTCCCACGAAGTTCAATGGGAGCTGTGTGTTGACAAACTGAGCAAATTTGAATCGGCAAAATTCATTCTTGGCACGGGGACATGCAACTGCGCTGAATGCAAAGGCGTGCTGCCCGCTGACGCTGAGCTGGCAGCCTTGCTGCTCTTGTGTAAATACACGTCGGAAAACTCCCATTAAAGTAAAAGGACACAGAATCAGGCCATTTATTGCCAATTGTTTATAAAACACGTCAAAACTAAGTGCTCTGTTCTCAAGCCATGTAACCATCATCTATGGCCCATTTCATATATAGCATATTGCAAATAAAATGGTAATGTGTAAATAACATAGCGCTTCTGTGGGGAAGGGAAGCTGTTCTAATAAATGCTAAAGGGAAAGAACATAAGTACAAAACAGGCAGAAAGTAACAGAATGATCAGGTACCAAACATTCAGACTCATTTATTCAATAAATATATTTGGATAAAAAAAAAAAAAGATTGCCTCAAACACAAAAGTACTGCCATGGCACAAAATCTCTACAAAGGCAGAGCCAACACATTTGATTACATTACTGTGTAACAGGGCTGGAAGAGCCTGCCTGGGAAACCCCACGCAGCTCATACCACAGGGCAGATCCTGCTGGACAGCACAGCGGAGGTCCGAGCTTCTCGGAGATGGGATGCACGGGCTGCGAGACCACGGGCAGGTGGGCAGTGGGACTCCTTACCTCCTCCCTT